TTTAATTAACAGCGTGACTAAATATACACTTAATTATTTTCTTATATTTTTAATTAACAGCGTGACTAAATGTACACTTGATTATTTTCTTGTATTTTTAACATTCATATTTCTCCCCCTTTCAGTTTACTGAGTTATTATCCTAGGTTTGTTCTAGATATTTTTTAACGTTTTGACTATTTGTCTTTTATTAAACAAACGAAGTCTCTTGAGAGGCGAACACTGCCTTAGATTATCCATGCCAGACGCATATATAATCAAACTTCTAACAAATATGCCAGTCTGCAGACCCACTCGAATATATTCACAAATTTATTAACAATCTTGTCCTGAAAAAAAAATTCATTCAGGATGTAAAAAAAGAAAACAAATATTGCACGAAAACAAAACCAAATTATCCTTGTTCATAAATTGTTTTCAAAAACTACATACATGACTATGCAAATTCGTAGCCAGAAATAATGAGTCACATTTAATTTCTCTCAATAAAATCCAAAATAATTCACTTCAGTTTGCCGTTTTAAAGTCAGAAATCAATAAAAAATTTTATTCGATACGAAAGGTTAAATAAATGCTTTTTCTATTTGCTTTAAAAAAATTTCAGGTTTTTTTTAAAGCACTGTTTAGAGTTGCTTGCGTCACAAACGTCAAAACAGATGTGATATGTGACATAAAGCATATTAATAATTCATGTTTTTCATTTGGAAGAACAAGGTTAGAAGGTTCTTCGCTTGGCAGATAAAATCTATTGCTAAAAATCAAGTCCTAAAATACATARCTTGCTTAATATTTGGTTTAAAAGTCTGAAAGATCGAATGAGAGATTACTGGTAGAAGAATGGCTAACCCTACGACGAACGCTACTGAACCAGCACCAAATTGGCAATTGTATGGCACTGTCGAGACATTCACAGTTGTTTTTCTTTCGTTTTTAGCGTTAGGAACGACTACTGCCAATGGATTCACCCTCTACACTATCTACAAGGATCCTCTAAAGTGCTTTCGTACTCCTTTGACGATTTTTATAGCTGGGATTCTGGTTTCTGACTTTCTGACTGGACTAATTGTCGAGCCTGTCCTCGCTATCCTGTATTCCATCAACTATATCCATATTCATCTCCTTCGAACAATTCAAGTCGTCGCGATGATAACTATAAACACTTCATTTTTTATTATCCTCGCTTTGGCAATTGCTCAATTCATGGCGCTTAAATACCCGATAGTTTACGAGCGATGGTTTACGAATCGCAGTTCTATTCTCATCATTGCTTGTGTTTGGGCATATTCCTGTACGTTTTCGTTACTTCCCGAAATCTTCAGTATGTCTATGTGGGCGTTCTACACAGTCGATCTAATTCTAAACACGACCTTGGTGACAATCGCCTTAGTTGTGATCTATGTCTTTACTTACATCGTCTTTAAACGAAAAAACAGAGAGCTAGGAGAAAATAATGAACAGCCAAATCAACGACCAGCCAGCCAGCGAGCTAAAGAACAAATTGAGAACGATTTCCTTAAAGGAACATTTCTCTTGACTGTTGTATTAATCGTTACAGTCTGGCCGTTCATGATCGCGTTATATATCTGGATTTTCAACCCTTACCTCACTATGGCAAAATTAGTCGAAGAGTACACCGCTTTGATCATTTGTGAGAATTTATTATATCTAAAGTTCCTCTGGGATCCGCTCATTTTTATCATGCGAGTTTCGAAATACCGTAAAGCAGTGGTGATGGAGTTTACGGGTATCGTACAACGGTGTGGCTGTGGGTGTATTCCAGGGGGAGCAGGAGTCGTTGTTTATAATCGATATGTTAATGAAGAAACGACAAGGGCAGATGCGGATGGACAAGAGGAAACAGTCGTTGAGGAAGCACAGGAGTCCCATACAAGCGTTAAGAGCTGAACGTTGATGTTAAGCGAAGATTTCAACTGATGATTGGCCAAAAAACTAGTAGTGAACTGACAAATAACCTAAGTTTAGTAGTCAACAGTTGATTGATATTTCATTATTTTGGTTGATATTATGGTTAGCGAAAATTCGTAGTTAACTGAGAGTTAGGTACCCCCATTGGTACCCTCAAGTTTGCATRGATGAAGAATGACTAGAGGCGAAGAGACTTGGGAAGGAAGGAAGAAAGGAAGAAAGAAAATGGAAAACAACTGAACTTCGGTGTTGATAAAACTTGGAGAAGAAGGGATGGAAACACTGGAAAATAAAACAGACATTGAGAAGGAACCAAAGAAACGAAAATACAAAAATTGGATTGGGAATCAAAAAAACTAAATATCTGCATTAAAAGTGAAGMAAAGAAAGAAATAGCGGACACAAGCTAGGGAAGGGAATCCAAACGAACGATGGTGGAAAAATTGAAAAGGCATTGACAAGGAAAACACGAATTGAAAAAGACGTGATGGCGACAGATCATTTCCATATTAACTGTTCATCGAATATCGATGGTAAATAGACCCTTTCACGGTTTCCGACGCCATATTGCTTGGAGGGCAAGTTTACTAAGAAGCGACGGGGAAAGAGATACGTTTTTCGTTATATTTCGTTATATTTCTGAGGTAAATTTTCGAGACCAAACTTTGTCTGTAGACGGAGAATCCTTTGTTAAATGGTTTGTGACGTTTTTGAGCCGATCGAGTCATCCTTGTCGAGGCAAGATTTTTTTACGGTCAAATTGAATCAGTATGATGAAGTCTTGATGTGGTCGTAAACCCCAAAGCCTCCGTCTCTCTGAGAACCAGTGTTATGCTGGCTCCATCGGCTCAAAAACACCACACAAAACGTTGAATAGAGGATTCTCTGTCTACAGAAAAAGTTTGGTCTCGAAAATTTACCTCCGAATGGAAATACAACGAAAAACGTATCTCTTTCCCCGTCGCTTCTTAGTAAACTTGCCTCCCAAGCAATATGGGGTCGGAAACCGTGAAAGGGTCTATTAGCTAAAAGTCTTTAAAATAAAGACACGACTATCATTCATTTCACGAGAGGGAAATAAATCATTTTATAATTCTGTTATGAGAGAGAAAATTAATGTTTTTTCTAGACATCACTTTTCTAATTACTATTTTTTATCGTATGAAAACAAGATAAAGAACGATCAATTAGTTATTGAAAATATCGATATAAGATTTCAGTAATGCTACCATCA